TGCAATTACAAAAATGTCAATATAATCAAATTCATTCAGCTGCATTTCATCTTATAGATTCGGATTCAAGGCAGCTAGCAACCAAGTTAGTAAATTACCTCATTCCATTATGACTTTAGCCCGACTCCCTTCATCTTCTCAATAATCTTCTCAGCTTCCTCTTTGGGAACCCCCTTCTTCAACAACGTGGGCACCTTTTCCAAGAGCTCCTTGGCTTCCTTCAACCCCAAATCCGTGCACGCCTGCACTTTCTTAATTATCTTGATCTTGGCGGCGGCATCAAATCCTCCATCGAGTTTCAAATCAAACGATGTCTTCTCTTTCGGACCAGGCCCATCTGCCTTCCCCTTTGGCCCTACCATTCCTAGGCCAAACCCCATCCAAGGTATCATCATCGCCATCATGGGTGATGAGGAAAAAATATTGATAAGCCTGAGCTCGAGCTACTTGACCCGAACTGATCTTGGCCCACTCCAAATGGGCTAATTCCAAAGTCGGGTCCATTATGAGGTCGAGTCTAGGAATACTAGTCCTACTTAAGTGCAAACCCCTAGTTCATTACAAGTTTTATCCTAACACAAATTGTGCACCTCTAGCACAACACAAACACCTTACGTGATAAGGACTGCAGGTAGTTGGATCCTTTCAGGACTCTAACTTCAAAATCTATAAATACAACATTAGACCTCATTATTCAGGTATGTTTTACATAATATTCCAATATACAATTTTTCACATAATTCTCTCTCTGACTTAAGTATTGGAGGGGCAATGAGGACACACCTCGACGCCTTTGTTTTAGGTACCAGAACGCCTCATTCATGCTCGTTCTCAATCGTCAGGCTCGGGATCTCGGGATCAACAAGTACGATTTTTGGCATCAACATTGGCGTCGTCTGTGGGAAACGATATAGTTAACCACGAAGAGAACACGTAGAAAAAGTCGATAAAAGATTTTAGAAGAAGATGGAAACGGCCACTGGAAAATTCAGATTGCCGGGAATCATGTTGAGGGCGGTGCCTACTGCCTCGAAAGCTTCAGCTTGTGGACCCTCAACTGTAATACTAGGTTTGGTATTTTTAATTCTTCTTCTCAACCTGTTTAAATCAACCACCACAAATTGAATCTCTGCCTATTTTCTAAACTTCCAACACGCTAGATATTATTGCAAGATCTTTGCTCTTATTAGGCTAATCAAAATAAATTTATGTCCTAATTAAGACTAGAAGATAAATATGGATGCACTCTGTTCTGCGTGCCTAGTAAAATAGAATTCCTAGCTTAATTTTTAGCTAGTTTGGTCCATTTTAATATAACTTTTCGGATCTACCCGTCTGATTTTGCTGAAAATCAAAATTTTGGTAGTTTTCGATAAAAAATGATTACACTTTTGGATGAAAAGTTGAAACATGATTGAAATTAATTATTACTTTTGACTTTGCTTTTTATCGACTTTTAATCCGAAGCAAAGATGGGCTAAATATAAGGTTGATTTTATTTTTCACATGTTAAGAAATTTTGTTTAATGTTATTGAAAAAACAATTTTTGCAACAAAAAAAAAGCCGGTTGAAAAATCTATCATTAAATCAGATCAATCGGATTCCAATTATTACGTGATTGTCGACAAATCATTCTTTCCCGATCCAAATCACTTGTTTTTTTTAATTAATATTATTTGATTTACGCTCCACCGCTTCTTAAACTCTCTGAACCACCTGTGTGATATATGTTCGCCGACATTTTTTAAATTTCTACCTATTTGACGGGAATTAAAGAATTTTGAGGTTGAATCTTTAGTTTCCTGTGTTGGCATTCTATTTTACGAGTTAATTGGAGCTTAATGTGTTTTCCCAAGGCAAGAACTGGGCTACTGTGATTCGCAATTTTTGTGAAATTCCGGGAAGTGCGAATTTGTTCATGGTTTTGAATGCTTGATTCAAATGTATCATGATTACTCCATTAGCACAGATGCTTAGTTTTACACATGTGAAGAGATTTTGGAAGACCATAATGCACTGTCTAATTTAGAAAGAAAACCATGGCTTCGGTTTTTGCTAAAGAACAGCCTAGAACGGCCTATTCAAAGACCCTTTCATCGATTGTAGCTTCAGTGGGTGGCCTTGCTTTAATCTTAATCCTCGCATTTCATCGCATTTGGTCTTTTTCCACCCATTAATTTGGGCCGGCGAGTCCATTATTCACATGGGCCTATTTTAAAGACTACCATGATATTGTTGCTGGGAGATTATTCTTTTGGGGCTAACTAATTGTTGTCTTAGAATTCATTTTAGTTGCGATCATTATTCAGCCATTAGCGCAATTTGAGGAATTGTTTAGGTTGATTCAAGAAAAGATTGACCGTTTTATATGCAAAGTAGAGAAAGAGAAGTCCAAGCATTCCAGGCACGAGGTTGGAAAAGTCGGCTCCCCATTATAGGATAAAAACTCCTCAGTCCAGTTTCCAAAGTAAGGTACCTAACAAGTATTACAAATTCAAAATTATATGAAACCAATTCAAATGGTCACTGAAATCTATTGGCATATTTTATTATCATTAACTTGCAAAGATGATTTGGCATCTAGTGAATACCTATTGGAGCTATCTATGTGGATATCCATATTTTGCAAATTTTTATTTAAGGAGTTTGAGGCTTCGAAATTATTTTCTAGCCTGTTAATCATTAAACAACTTTTGCCAATCGATTTCTTCATATATTCAAGCAATTTTTCATGTCAAATGTTTTGGAGATTTTTTTTAAATTAATTTTATTGCTGCAAATAAATTGTTTTACATAATTGCGCTATATATTTTAAATGGCCGGTGGCATACACCATATATTTGGCAAAATGCATTGTTTGGATCTCTCTTATTTCGAGACTCCATTTATCATCCTAATTGCTGAGGACGAGTCTTAACTCGTGACTTTCTCATTATTCGTGATTTTCTTATTAATGAAGGGAGCCTTCGCTCGTCGTTTTCTCATTAACGAATGCGAGCCTTAGCTCGTTTTCTCATTACTGAAGGTGACCTTAACTTGTGGATTTCCTATTATCAGAAACAAACAAGCCCTGTTGGGCCACAAAATGTCCCGCAACCAGTGGGCCCTCATGGCATAGTACGAGCAAACTCCTCA